CTTCACCGTTCGAGCAAATGTTAAATGCGCAGATATAAAGTCCATTGGTGCACAGCCGGGGATCGAACCTACGACCTCATATATGAGAGTCGCACGCTGTAGCCACTAGGCCAACACTGCTCTATAAGTCTATTGGTACCGAGCGATTCTCAACCTAATCCAAATGACACTAGACTTAGATGACAGATTATAGCTGGCTTCAACGGAGGCTGCGATCTCAGCAGCCCGTATAAAGCGCAATACACACTGAGCCCGCCGGGCCACCGACAAAGTCCGGCGACACAAGGCGGCCTGTATGAAAATAATCATGTCGGCAACATGCGCCTGCGCGTGTTACCCGCCAAAAAAATGGTAAATTTTCCGACTTGTAATAAGTGAAGCCGCCAACTAGACCGCCGACAAAAAGTTGCCAACATATGTCGGCGGCCCGGCGGGCTCAATGTGTATTGCGCTTAAAAGGTTGTTGATGCAATATTTTCTTATATTATTAACTCTACTTTTAACATCCTATATAATATATTGTCCCATTCATATCATAGCACAAGTGACAAGGACAAACGATCATGTACTAAATAAGCCTGAGCTTTTTCCACGTATTTTATTTCAAGAGAAATAAGAGTGATAACGCTAAAATAGTTAATAATCATACTTCGATGAATATATGACTAACAGAAAAATTGCTTTTAAAGAGTCCTACTGATCATGTCAGTAAATTGTTCGACGAGTTTTTTAAATAACGTAATAAATAGCTTTCATAAAAGTTAAATGACCTGAGAATGAGATAAATACTTCTATTGAAACCTATCAATAATAATCCTCTTGTTTCAGATACTTAACATTTATATACATTTATATTTATATCGTTTGAAAGCTATTATACCGTTAATGTACTTGAAGCGGGATGTTTTATGTGTAGGAGAGTAGAAGAGTTGTAGATTGGAGAAAATAAATAGTTTATAACTACGCAAACGATATTTCGTACACGAGATTACTACGAGAGTTTTCGCAAGAAGTATCTTAAAGTAAATAACAACTGATTTTAAGGCAGTTTTTACTGCGCAACAACACTATGTGGAACCAACTGTACTAGTAAAGTATTTCGGTACCAATTAGACTTAGGGTTTTTTTTTAAAGAAAATAGTGCACCAATTCATAAAAAGCCGGTAGCGCACTCGCGAACCCTCTGGCATTGAGAGTGTCCATGGACATATCACTTAAACTTTGCCCCCTTTTCTAAGTAACCATTACTAAGGTCATATTATATACAAAAGAGGTTACAATGTATTTTTATTTGTGTGTCGCTTGTTTCTTTTAACTTGGGTCGTCCCCACGGGCCAGTGGCAATGCGCGGGTGAAGGTCGATGAATCATCACCATCAATAATCGATATCGAGCAATCAATTTTCGGCAATTTTAATATCGACACCTGCTCGAATCGAGGAGCGATTATTGCACTTTTTCAGTTGAAATATTCATTTTAAACTGAATTTTCCTTCTATCCATTAACAATGTGTTCGATGGATATTCCATTTTTAAACTATTCAGGTTAAGGAAACAGATTTACATGACATATTAAAACTGTTTACAGTTGTTTTGGGGAATATGGTAGAAATAATGGGGACGACATGGGAATGCACTGAGTAGTTTATAATTATTGTTTTGGTAAATGATATGATGATTAAAAAATCTATATTTACTGAATATAAGTAATGCACCAGTGGCTCCATTGCAGTTGTAACCCCCGATATATTTGGTAATTATTACATAATTGTAATTTGGTTTACACTATTATAATAAAGAGGAAAGATTTGATTGCTTGTTTGTTTGCATTGACTTTAAACCTACTGGACCGATTTAAAAAAAATCATTCTTTAATAGAATCCTAGGTTATCCAATATGAACATAAGCTAAACAATATTTACATAAATGTTAGGGATCCATATGAAACTGTGATAATGTAATCTAAGGTGTGAAAAAAATACCTACATCGCGTACGTTACGAAAACTATTGACAATAGCGCAAAGTGTTGTACTATATTTTTATAAAAGAGATAAATATCTACACAAAAGTCCGCTCTACCATATGTATCCCGTTTCCACCTGAACAGTCATGTGAAACAGGTAATCTTGAATAAAAATCAAAAGAATCTTCTTTAGTAATTCTTATAAGACCAAAGACTTTCAGGGTCTTGTTAAAATAATTGCGAAGAAAACGTAATTTTGCGAGCCCTAAGGCCGTACAGACTCCTTTATACAAACAGTAAATCTCCGCCAAGTTTTATAAACTTGTTATTATACTTTACAGGTTTTTATGTTATTCGGTTATTTTGTTATTAACCAAGATATTCCTATATTGCTTTAGAAGATAATGGAGTGGTTTAAATGAATATAGGCGAAATTGTAATGTATGAAAGACCAATGTTCCAGTCCTAATAGATTATCTAAAAAGCCGTTACAAGAATTTTGGGGTGAGATTCAGAAACGAGACTGTTAGTAAACAAAGGCTGGGGGCCTTTTAAGCATTGGATTGCCTTAATAATTCTGTAAATTTCTTTTCTACGATCGTGGTTTTACATTATACATATTTTAAGTTACAAACTTTGCATAGATCCCACCAACAGTAGGCACGTATTTACTGTTGCAATCTGCAATAAAATACCTACCAAATTCATAGAATACATAATCATGTCGATTAGTAAAACAAATTTAAAACTGTACCCCTAGAGGAGTATTCGTAAGGATACCGATGTACCATATTGACCTAATCTGAGATTAGAAGTGGGATACTGATCAGTAAACAGTTCTATTTATAAAGGTCGTGTGAAATATGACGACATGCTTTCGTCATAGCGGTACGCGCTTAAATTAGTTTTCATTTGCTTTGGAACTGGTGACGAAATTATTGGTCACAAAAGTATTAAAAAAAAACAAAAAAAAAAAAAAAAAAAAAAAAAAAAAAAAAAAAAAAAAAAAAAAAAAAAAAAAAAAAAAAAAAAAAAAAAAAAAAAAAAAAAAAAAAAAAAAAAAAAAAAAAAAAAAAAAAAAAAAATTTTTTGGGGGGGGGGGGGGGGGGGGGGGGGGGGGGGGGGGGGGGGGGGGTGGGGGTGGGGGGGGGGGGGGGGTTTTTTTTTCCTGGGTATGTGTAAAAATCCCTTTTAGCCTATTTCTCCATTGCTGCAAACAAGTCAAGGCTTAAATAGTGGTCGATGTATGTCCGGGCTGCGCGATACAAAACTGAGTTTTTTGCATAGTTGGTGTTAATGTGAGCAACGAGAAAGGATTACGAAAAGAAAGCACGATAACGATTAATCAGACATTTATACAACATAAATATACGTATTTTGTATATTTTTTCTCTTTCAGTCTGAAATCTGAACTTTTGTATTGTAAAACGACGCTTGCATATAACTACATTTTAATTTGGTTTATATCTTGTTATTTTTACGGGTTTCCTAAGAAAACTGGCTTGGCACTTCCGATGATACATGCATAGGCCTTTCGCCGTAGGGATCTGCCGGAAGCTTCGTCTCTTATGCTTACTTTCAAAAGCTTCCATTCTTTATTTGTAAGTAAACATTATGTGACGAGTATATGATTATTTGACGTTTAAAGTAGCTGACCTAATAATTTATTTGAGCAGTGTTGGACTATTTGCTTGTGCGACTGTAATTCCTGAGGTCGAGTTTTGAACATCGGCTGTGCATCAATGGATTTTCTGTCTATTTATTTAACACTCGCTCGTTCGGTAAAGGAAAACATCGTGAAGAAACTTTTAAAAAGGATTTTTTTATATACTGTCAAAATCTGTTATAACGACATCGAAGGGACTACACATATTTGGTCGTAAAAACCGATAGTCGTAACAACCGATGACGTTATTAAGTACCTCATACAATAGAATTCAGCCGTAACCTTTGATTTTGGTCAATGGTATGTTGTTAATATTTTTGTATTACAAAAAAAGCAATACGCGCTATACATTAATTAAAACCGCATGCCTTGCTAAGAATTACTAAACTAACTATTTAAACACAAGAAGTAGCTTGCTTTTCCAGATTCCAGACTTCATAAAACTGCTCACTCATTTATGGGGAAATGTATATAGATATATAACAAAATTCCAGATAATGTAACCAAACTTCCGCTACATAAGTTTAAACTTAACATCAAGGAAACCTTAATAAAAAAAGGATATTACACAGTTCAAGAATACATAGATGATAACAATGTGTGGGCACTAATGTCGCTATAAGATAGTGAGATGGCGTAAATTGACATGCATACGTGTACATAACATTGTACCTAAATTAATAAATGATTTTTGAATTGAATAAAATTAATATATTTTAAAAAAATTAATATATTTTAAAAAAAACTAAAAAAAAAACGCTTTTAAAGCACATCAAACTAAAAAGTGAAAAATAATTCCTAATTTAGGCTGAAAATGGTAATGAACAAAAAATACTGGTATTATTGTGTAAAAGCGTGGGGCGCTCTGTGCCATATTTTTCGTCTATCGAGCAATTTAACCGTGTTGTCTCAATTTAACCGTATTGCTTTGTGGACTTAAAAAAAATTCATTGTTTTTTCGAGATAAACCTATGAAATTATTATATTGTCGCTGATTCTTTATAAGTGTACAAAGTTTGAATTAAATCTGTCTGTTTAAAGTGGGTCATAATCGAGTCCGAAGGAGTCGGTTACATATATACATACAGGTGAAGCTAATATAAAGCGTGTAAAAAAAGGATGTTGTAAACGGTTTTGACTGTATATGACATGTTTGAAGACGTTAAGAAGTTACGAGACGAGACGATTTATTTTTAATTATCGATTTTTGTCACTTGAACTTATGAAAGTTATGCTGACTAAGAACGTCATTGAACTGAAAATTGATAAGAAAAAGGTCGCGACCATGGTAACTATTGCGAATTGTGCAAGGTTCCGCGACTGACAGTGTCCACTAGTTCATTGTGCCTCTAGACAGATAGGTTTATGATCATGAAGATCCTAATACCGATTCTGTGTTTGATATCAGCTGTGGGTAAGTACAAATTTTCATTATTTCAAAGACAATTAAAATTAAAGATTACGTGGTTTTATAGTAAGATGTATTTACTAGACTTTATCAAGCTTTAATAAATTTCATTAATACTTGCTTCTATTACTTTTATTTGTTTATCAACAGAAACCGATCTACCCATATTTTTTAATTTTTTATTATTAATCTGCATGTACACGTACGGTAGCATTATTTTTGTGTCAATGTGTGTGTGTTTCATAAAATACCTACACAAAAAGTGACACGTTACATATATCTAAGAAATATTTAAAAAATGTACTACATATAGACAATTTAATGTACTAAAATTCCTATTATAATTTTTTTTAATCGATAAGAATTGACTTCAGTTTAGTTTTATTTGTATACAATGAGAATATATATTCAACGTATTAATTTGTAGTGTAGGTGTAGAAAAATTCGGTAAAATGTTTTGGTCTAATCTTTGAACGAGTGAATTCTTTTAGATCTACAAGATACGCCAGACGGAGAGTGCTGTGGGGAGCAAGAGGTGGATTTATCTCAACATCTGGAGCTGGAAGCAGTTTGTCCAGAACTTAGTGGGCAGATTATTGGAGGACGGTCCAGCTCGATAGTTAGACATCCTTACCAGGTACGTAAATTTTCAGAATTAGTCTAACATTCGAATAACAATAATTGTCTGTAATATTTTGCGTGGCATCCAGAATCTCCACCAAAATATAAATTTCGTTCATAAATAATTCATATATATCCATATACTACTACTATACTGTACTATCGTATTATAGTAGTTTAATTGTCTTTAGAAATATATATATATAAAAAAATAATTATTTAAATTTTAAACAGAATATCAGTTTAAAAAAGTTATTGTAAAATTGTGATATTTAGTCAAATTTTAATATGGTAATTTTGCATAAACTATATGCAGTCACCTTATAGGTCTGGGTTATTATTTTTCCTAATAGGCAAGTAGGTGAATGGAGGCCTTCTGTGCCTGACACACGCCGTCGACTTTTTGGGTCTAAGGCAGGTCGCTTTCCTCATAGTGTTTTTTTTCTTCCGGCCGAACCTACGATCTCAGACGGATGAATTAAAATTTTAGACTTATAAAACAATTACATAATATCTTAATCGAAAATTGTCTCGTGAAATAAACTGGTAACCACAATGAAAATTTTTGACTGACGTAATATTTCCACAGGTGTCAATGGTACTGAATGGAAATTCTTTCTGCGGTGGCTTTATAATTAGCCCGAATTACGTGTTAACTGCGGCCCACTGCGTTCAGAAGTAAGTCAATTGTAAATTAAAAACAATTTATTCATATTTTAACTTGAAGTGAACTTCACCTTGTTAATAAACAATGTATAGAAATCGCGTATTTGTGGCCTCACGAAACGGTTCGCCCGTCTTTCATGATATTTTTTCTATCGAATAGGGAACAATGTTCGCCCGATCAGCTAATATGATAAGTGTTAATATAGTGTTCTTTAGGCTGATTTAGCCACAAGATAATATAAAGTGTGTGCGCAATTAATATATATAATTCACTATATATATATACTAATCCTCCTACTCCGATGGAACGTTGTGTTACGACAGTATGTAGGATGTGTAGTTTACGTTTTCGTTAAAACAACGCCAAATTACTAATTGATATTTTTGATATACATTTAATTGTTAAAACATATTATCTATTTACATCGTGGATGAAGGTAATAATGATAATAATAAGCCTTTATTAATCAACATCTTATTAATATATTTAACAATAATATAATTTTAAAACTCTAAGATGCGGCCTCTGTTCGCGAGAAGGCTTCCTCCAATTTTTTCCACCCTATTGTATTTTTTGATATCGTCATCCAACTTTTTCCAGCTGCCCTTTCGATCCCGTTGGCCTATAGTAGTATATATGTAGATAAATAAAATAAAATAAAGTAAAAAAAAATAATAATAATAATATACAAAATAAAATAATATAAAATAAAATACTTACTTTTACTTAAGTGTAGTACTTATTTTTTTTTTTTATACATGTGTCTTTACTAAGACATCATGGAATATTACGATCTAGCCTAACTTAAGACTAATAAGTAATTTAAGTCTAACCTAATTTATTAAAAGGATATTTAACATAAGAAAGTGTCCAATAACACTACTTACAGTCTCTATTAAAGGGAAGACACTTTGTTTTTGTGTTCTATTTTTTTCAATCACTGTTTATCACTTAGTACTGAACGTGCACTAACACTAATTAACTAGTTCAAATGGTTTTGTCCTTTTAATCGTCGCACTAGGCCCGTGGTGTCAAGGAGTTGAATAGCCTCGACATTCACGTGATGGTGGAGCCTATGTTCGTGGGCTCCGGCAGTCTTTTTTAGTACTGTGGCGACGTCCTCTATATTAAGGTCCCGATGGAGGTCGTTATTGCGAATGAACCAGGGAGCATTGACTATCCCCTGAGCACTTTGTTTTGGAATCTTGGATATTGGATTTACTACTGGTACAGCCCCACAGCTGGCAACCATAAGTCCAACAGGTGTCAGGACTTGTTTGTAAATCAATAATTTATTTTGAACTGATAACGCGGAATGCCTTCCGTGGGCTCGAAGGCAATTAGTTACAATTTAGTGTAACGGAGATCCAACTCTTCACGCTTCTTTTTAACATGGACCTTCCATCGGAGTTTGGTATCAGCGTCATACCTAGGTACTTTGTGAATTTTGGAACGGCACTTTGACGTTACAATATATCTGGCTGGTAATTTGTTTTTGGTAAGTTTATGTGAACTGATTTGACTGATTTAATCGTATCGCCATTTCTTGGTCCACAGCCAACAGTATTTATGGCTTTTTGTAGTTTTGCTACCGCTTCCTTTTCAGTTCGCCGTAGACATGATAGCAGTATCATCGGCAAAGGTAGCGATTATGTTATCTTCTAGTTCAGGAATATCGCATGTGTATAAGAGGTGCAGGACCGGACCTAATACACTACCTTGCGGCACTCCAGTTTTATTTCTTTCAGTTCTGAATAATCATCTTCTTGTCGTACTCTAAACATTCTTTGTGTTAAGTATGACTCAAGGATATTTGAAAATTGACGAGGCAGTAGTTTCTTTAATTTATAAACAAGTCCTCGGTGCCACACTTTGTCAAATGCTTGAGCTACATCCAGAAAGACCGTGGAGCAGACTTTTTGTTCTTCTAGTGCTTTTTCTATATTATTTGTAATTCTATGAACCTGCTCTATGGTAGAATGTTTTTCTCTGAAACCAATTGGTAATCCGGTATGAGCTGCTTTTTGGCAATAATAGGGTTAAGACGTTTGAGAAAGAGTTTCTCAAATAGCTTTGCCTATAACAGGTAACAATGAGATTGGCCTGTAAGACGTTACTTCGTGAGGTGGTTTTCCTGGCTTAGGAATCATTATAACTTCCGAACTTTCACATATTGGAACATATGAAGTCGAAATGACGCATTTTAAGGTTGTCATTTTAACTACAGCTTTACGGGGAATGCTGTAGTACCTCACCAGTAATTAAATCAAAGCCTGGCGCCTTTTTTTTAGTTAAACATTTAATTTCACTTAAAACTTCTTTTGGTGTGACTAGACGGATGTTTAGCTCTTCTGACGATATTTCTTCGAAGTCAAGTGAATCTTCTTCATCCATTTGAAATATATTTTCTAGATGATCAGCAAACCTCCTAACTTTTTGTATATTACTTGCAGCCCAATTCCCATCAGACTCTCGCAAGGGAGGAATATGTGTTGTAGGTTTTTTGATATTTCTTATCGCTTTCCAGAAGAGTGGTGGAGCCATCAGAAGTTAATTGGTTTAGGAATCTCTTTATTGAAGTATCTTTATGTATTTTAATCTTTCTCCTCAGTTGTTTAGTGAGGTTATTCAGATGTTTTTTGTCTTCAGGACATCTTGTGGAATGCCACCTTTTTCTTTGAGCTCGTTTTGTCCTTATCAGATTTTTAATCTCTTCTGGGAAGTAGTTGTTTTGTACCTTTTTCTTAAATTTGGAGTATTGCTTCAAGCAGTTGTTGGATGTTCTTTGTAAATATATTTACTTCTAAATCTATTGTTCCTCAGTCTTTAAAGGTACTCTTAGGTCTATCATATTCTCAAGATAAATTTTGAAGCTGTCCCAGTCCGTATGCGGGGTTCACGAGAGATGGATTAGTTTCCGCTTTACAGGGTCTTCGCCAATTGTGAGTAAGATTGGGGAGTGATCTGAGTTCATATCATATGCTTCCTCTATTTGTAGAACATTTGGTGATACTTCTCTAAATATGAAGAAATCTATAAGATCTGGTATTTTATTCTTGTCTGTTGGCCAGTATGTGGGATTTCCTGTCGAAATTGCATACATCTCAAATCTTTCATAGCATTAAATAGTTATTTTCCTTTGGTCGTTATTAATCTTGATCCCCAGTAGGTATGTTTTGCATTGAAGTCGCCTCCCAAAACAAATCTATTTCCAAGACTTTCTAGCAGGGTTGTGTACTGGTCGTACTTAAGTGCATGTCTTGGTGGGCGTAGATGAAGATATGTTAATGGACACCGCTTCATTGAAGGACAGCCACAGCCTGAATATGTTCTTTTTCACATTTAAGGACCTCATGGTGTTTTAAATTGTCCTTTATTATAACTGTACTTCCCCCACTGGATTTATTACTTGGGTGAAGGGCATGGTAGGCTTTATATCCTTTAAGTTGAATGTATGACTCCCTGGTAAAATGTGTTTCCGATACCAAGCAGATGTCAATGTTTTCATGTTTCAGAATTATATGAAGTTCTCTTTGGTGTTTTAAAAGCCCATTAGATCCATGCCATTATTTTTAAAGACATCATTGCTTCAGAAGTTTAGAAGCTGCTATTTTGGTGCTGCTTTCTAGTTTTTAAGTCTTTCATCAAAAGAGTCAAATGAAAGATGGTGTTAATTTTTCATCTAGCCTGTGTTAGATGTTTTTGTTGGTTGAGGACAGAATCTCGGGACCTTTAGTTACCTCAGCAAAGGAAACAGTCTTGGAAGCTAATTTTGCTGGTTTACAGGTTTGTCCGTTTCAGTCTTTGATTTTGATTTTAAGACGTTTCTCATTTTCTGCAATTCTTTAGCTACTACACAGCCTCTGTAATTAGCTGGGTGTGACTCACCACAGTGAACGCACTTGGGTTTCGCGTTCGTGGCTTGTTACAGTCTATGTGAGAGTTTGCAGTACATTTTACACACCTCAGCTCTTGGAGCAGTATTTCTCTGTGTGCCCATAAGCCTGACACCTCTTGCATTGGGGGATCAATTTGGGTGATTTCAGTGGCTGTACATCAATTTTGCAGCCAAATATCGATTTTATTTCGTAAATATTTTTTATGTTTTCTTGATGGTGGAAAGAGAGAATGAACAGTTAAGCGGTTACTTGTTTTTCCAGCTATATTTGACGGCTGCGTCTAAATTTTAAATCCTTGAAGAATGAGGTCTTCAATATCCTTTCAGGCTTGATTTTTTGCCATTACTCTTATTGGCTGCTCTGCTTGTTTTCGTAAGAGAACCACGAAGCATCTTCTTCTTTGAGGTGTTTGGGGATACCTCTGTAGGCAGCTTCACTATTGGTGTTAATCTTCACCGATCCATTCCTAAGCATTTTTACGGTGAAAGAGTCTTTATTTAATTCTTTTTTAAGTAAAGAATCGTAAAATGATTGGTATTCAATCACATTTTCGACAATAATCGGAGGTGGAAGGGGTTTCTTTTTGGCCTTTTCTTTGGTTACTTTATACAAGTAACGTCTTTCATGGGGGAAGGGGAGGTGTTTAGTTTCCTTTTCTTTCTGTTTTGTCGCACCCATTCCGTTTCTTTAGCCAGTTCTTCTTCGTCCGTCTCAACTGAATTGTTCAGCGGCTGCCTCATCCCTTTGTGCTAAGGGCTGATCTATTTTTCGTTCGAGCTGAGCTATCGTTCCTTGAGTTGATGGACAATACTTTCCAGGTCTGAGCATCGGGCTCTTTTCGGAGCTTTTTCAGTTCACCCACTAGTAATTGCTCGGTTTGGGTTTTAATTTCAATAACACTTGGAGATGACATCATAAATTTTATATAATAATTAAAATTATAAAGACAAAACCTGCCTTAATTCATTACACAATAACAAGTATTGGTCAACGATTCATCGTAAGCGAGAGCCTGGTCAGGGTTGCACTTTTTCGATCACAATATTTAATACGCGACGTTTCTAACCGAAATGAAAACAACAACTGAAACTACACTTATTAATTATATATTAAATTTGAATCGGTAGATGTAAAACGTATTTTGTTCTAGATTCAATAGCGGTGCTTTGCTACCGAAACATATTACGCAAATATTCATAATCTATGCAGAATAACTGCGCGTTCGCTTGAGGCGCTCTTTTATTTATACCAAAATTGAATTTTTCGAATAGTTTTTACGGTGCTGGGATCTTTTAAAAATGATTTGCTTTTGTTACCATGCATTTTCTTTAAATACGTGGAGACTCTTCTTTCAATTTACATTTATATTTACGTTCATACATGAAACTTTTTTTGATTCTAAATGACTTTTATAATTTTGAAATCTGAAAACTTCATGAAACACTGAGCTTTGTAAGCTTTAGAAAAATGATGACGTGCATAATAGCACTCGTCTGTAGGAGTAATGATATTATTCCCGCGTTTACGAGTGTTGGCAAGAAAATCTCTACTAACGTAATAGTTAACGAATCAGTTATTTTAAGTATTTTAATGGGGTTTTAATGTGTTTACGCGGAATCTTCTTTATTAGATAATTATAAACGTCTTATTTATATCTGATCCTTTACTTTAAATCAATGTAAAAATGTTAAATGAATCCATAAAATAGCATCTGTTAATAGTTTTTAATAATATAAATTAACAAAATACTGGGTTATAATAAGAATAATAGCGAGAAAAACAAAAGAAATTACAAAATAATTGAATACATTAATTTCATTTTAATCATACACCTTAGCGAGCTTTGATTTTAACGAAGTTAATTTAGTTAACAGTTTTCTTCTTTAACCTTCAATTTCTTCCATTAAATATAACTTTTATTAGGTCTTAAATACGATCCTTTTTTGCATACTCGCAGTATTAAGCTATCTTTCTATATTTCATTAAATTTTGATAACTATAAAATTAGTGTTTGAAAAATAGAACATTAAAAATATATTTATAAGAAGTTGGCAACGCCTTTGACACATTAACCTAGATCGGGGACAAAAAGCGTACAACTAAAAAAACGAGTTAGCGGCTTTCGTTATTTTTTCATAAAACTCGCACTTTATGAGAGTGCCCGGCGTAAAAGCATTTTCTAGAAAGTAACAGCAATTTCTTAATGCATTCAATATGCAAAGAAAAATAGTTTATATAGGTGAGTCACACTACATGACTGAAAAATACGGAGAAGTACTTTTTACTTTAATATTTTTAACAAAGGTTTATTAGTTGTTTTTAAGTCAATAATTAATTGTATGTTTTTACGGCTTTTCGGGCTCTTAGAACAAATATCGTATCTTACATAAAATTTATTTATTTATTCGTCCTCATCCTATCCATTCATCCTACAACTAACATCAATGATATATATATAAAATAGCTTTACTAAAGAGGTTCATAGCCAAAGATAGTATATATAATATTTACAGAAAATTATTCAATACTTATAATTATTCAACTAAGTAATACCTAATTCGGCTGTATTGTGTGTTTGTGTGAAAGTGAGGTTATGTACTCGAGGGTGTGTTTGTGGATGTGCTCATGATGCAGGTAATTTAGCGCTACGGATATTCTTAACACTCCTTTTAAGCGTATAACGCGGTAGCTTAAACAAATCAAGGCTAAAATATTGGTCTTGGATTAAATTAATGGTGGTAATCTTCGTCTTTAGATACATTATTTTTTCTTATTCAAAAGTTAGTCTTTCTCTTCGTTACAGTAAATAAATCCTGAAGCTAAGTAATCTTGAGGGCATTTTATTGCGATTGTGTTTATTATCAAGTATACTTTAGTCGCACATGTATAAAACGAAAAAATCAATAAACATTACATAGTGCAACAGTGTAAAGTGTTATGAATCTGTTTCTTTGTATGTAATCTGTACCAGCTTAGCCCATATTAGTTATTTCATGTCTAATAGCTAGTAACGTAGTATTTTTACAGTACCTAAAACCTATTCTTTTTAGCGTGTTACCGTCTGCTATCCGTCTTCGCGTTGGCAGTACAAGACGGGACTCCGGCGGTAGAATCGTCCCCGTGGCCAATGTTACAGTCCATCTTCAGTATGGGACGCCACAATTTGACCACGATATAGCTGCGTTACAACTGGCCCGGCCATTGACGTTCAGTAATGCTGTCCAGGCTATACGGCTCCCTCAACCGAGACAGGCAGTACCACTGGTTAGGCTGACTGTCACTGGATGGGGATTGACTGCTGTTAGTATATTAATAATATATTGCTCCAGTTCAAACAATTTGTATGACTCAATACTTGGCGATTAAAAAGAGTGGCGGAAAGTTTCTTGCCAGTTCTTCTTACCCGCTCTACGCCCTTGACTTGCGAACTGGTAGTAAATGTAAATTTACAATTAATTTAACTTCTTTTTGACGTTCATAAGCGTACTTGTTTACCTATATGATTAAAGATATTTTGAGTTTGAGTTTGATACGGAAAACTTTTTGTTTAGTGTCAAGAATACAGCTGCATTTCAATATGAATTACTTTAATTCAAATTTGTTTATTCACCTGCGCTTTAGATTCCAAGAATGCGCGTCTGAACGTAGTAAATTTACATGGTATCTGTTTGGAAATCTATAAACATTTGAAATCTTTTTCAGTAGTTATAAGCAGAAAAGTTTGACTTATTACTAATTAGGAATAAAGTAGCCATGTTTCATGAAACTATATAAAATACTTATCTTTAATAAATTTTTGTCAAACGTCATCGCATGAATTCTACAGTTATAATAATAATGCCATGATAAAAAATTCTCATAATTTAGCCTCGTGGACGGCGTATCCCTCGAATAATGATGGAAGCGAATGTACCAGTAGTCCCACACTGGCTTTGCCGGTTATCGTATGGAGATGCACTTACTAACAATATGTTTTGCGGAGGACATTTTCTCATAGGTGGCGTCTCGTCGTGTCAGGTATATCTTCCTTATTAAATTAAAAAAAACAAATAACATAAATTATTAGGACAACGGGCGGCCTTATCGCTGACAAGCGATCTCTTCCATCAACCCTAGTAAGGAAAAAAACAAATAAAAAGAAATACTAAGGGCAAGAAGTGTATATCCTTTTTGATATTGCTTTTTAAGTGACGAAAATATATTTATAAGTTGTTGTCCTTTTAATTACATTATAAAAAATTTCACTAGTTTTCAGTAGTGTTAGACAAAGTTAGCCGAGCTTATGTTTAATGTATCAATGACTTAATAATAGTATACTTTTAGTTCCAACGTCTTCCAAAGAGACATTTAGATTTGGACTATACCCATGGCATACCAGCCACCGATGTAGAACCTTTGCTTTACTTTTTAGTAGAAAAAAAACTGCGTTTAATGAATATTGGTACTTCAAAGTAGATTACTACTATAGATATGTAGAGAAATGAGTTAAGATTTTATCGGTGTTTACTTAGTTATCAATTACTAAAGGTTCTTCCCCCAGAGGGCTTCTTATCATACTTATACTGTTGTGATTTTTTAAAGTAATTGTAACACGTTTTTTTTTTTTTTTTTATTGTCTACATTTTTAGGGTGACTCTGGTGGTCCTGCAGTATTCAGAGGAATTGCCTTTGGCGTAGTTTCATTTGCAAGAGGATGTGCTCTTCCTCTGTCACCGACTGTCTTCACCAACATTGCAGCTTTAAGAGATTGGGTCACACAAAACACAGGAGTTTAGGAATATATTTCGAAAATTGTTTTATTGTTATTTTGTTTTAATACATGTTCTACAATATTTGCGTTTAATGTATATTTCAGCGATGGTATTATGGATAAGAAGCATTTAAATAGAACTTTTTTAGTATAAATGAGAATTTATTGCAATTTTTATGTAACAACGTTTTGAGTAGTTTTTTTCAATTGTAGTCAGCGGGTTTGCTCTTGACTTGGTATAAATGTGTAGTTCTCACGTAAACCAAAAAATATAGTTGAACCTATTTCATTATACGCCTCATACAAATTAAATTAATGTATGTTTTAAATAAAGTACCTAAACACTGATTTCCACATCACACCGTTCATATAATTCAGAGGAAAAAAAATTGAAAAGTGAAGAAAGAATTTAATAAATGATGAAAATATCATTTAGCTAACAATACTAATAATTGGTAAATCAAGATGTGATATTTGCACCTAAAAAAACGAAAATGAGAAGAAAACGGAAATAATAAAAATGGAAACAAAAAATATGTTTACCAAAGAGCAGTGGGCGGCAAGAGATTAGCGTTATTTGCCGCCCGCCCTCAGGTAATGTTTAACTGCCAACAAGATGTCTGTGATATAAATAGCAAATGTTTGCGCCCGTCACACCGACGGCTTATGTTTTAATTTTAATTTTTAAATACATTTTGATGAATTGTATGCAGTTTTATTTTTATTTTCCAATGACATTTCACCACAGCGTATAAACAGTTTGATAGCGACGCATAAGTAATTTCATTAAAACCTTTTTAAAAATGTGTTTAATTTACACAATTTACTATATATGATTACAATAACAATATATAATATTCTAAATATTGTCGCCAAATTTGGTTCTTGTACTTCAATTCTTTCATTATTAATATTAATTTCAATGAATGAAACATATAAATAAAAAACATAAAATCAAAAAATGAAAGGATTGATTATGATTTTATAATTATTTATTATGATTGTTATAATTAATCGAAATTATTCCTCCAGGTATACGAAATGTTCCTCATCGGATACCAATTCAAAGTTTTATCCCCGATTTTTACAATACACTGGGGCCTCCAAATGCGACGAAACCGTCCCCTATGGCGCGAAAAACAAAACGAGAAAAACAGAAAACACTTCGAGTCCTTCAAAAGGGAACTTTTCGCTAGATATAGAAAGGATCCACTACATTTATTGAGGAAAAGTGTGCAAGCGAAAAAGACATAGGCCTCGCAAGGCCGCGCGCGTGTTGCCGGCCTTATTTGGACTATTTCAGTGCTGCTAAAGCTTATATGACCAGAGACAAGTGAATTGAAGTGACGTGAAATATCTAGAAATATAAACAAGGATTATAGAATACGTATAATTGTTTGTTGTGTGCAATTTGTGTATATTTTTAGATGGGCTGAGCTAAACATAAAATCTTAGGCAAATTGTGTTGGATAGGCAAATATTTAGAATTTACTTCCGTTAAAAACTTTATCATTGCATTACTTACATTTTACATCATTGTATTATTTAAATAACATACTTAAGGTGTAACGTTAAAGATATTTTAGTCAAATTTGGTTAAATTTTTTATTAAGTAAATTATAAGCAACAATGTTATGTATTTTGTATTATATGAAATCAATGTCTTTCACTGATTTAGTGATAGGTAAATTGTTTATTTATATTAGTTTAATAAGATTTTAAATGATCATACACTGTAATTTTCTGAGAGCCTAAATCGTTGAAATATCGTTACTGTTTTGTTGTATTCTTGATACGTGTTAAGTGTAGGTGTTAAATGTAAACATAGAGCTTATAAGTGTTACTTTGTAAATTAATAATAAGATAATACTCTATAGGATGATTCAGCCACGATCCTCCAAAAATTGTCAATGGGACACACTCTCATACTGCGGTAGGATGAACGTCCGACGCCGCAATATGACCAGAGTAAACGCAAGTCTACTTAGGGGCCGTTCGATTATTACGTAAGCAGATTTACTGCAATTATTCCCCCCCACTTTGTCAGTAGTAAAGCTCTCAAAAATAATAGAACGTATTAATTTTTTGTACGAATCCTGGAAAACCACACATTGTCTATGCTTGAAAACTTTTTTAATCAAGTTAAATTATTAACTAATAAAGTAAAATTAGTAAGTAATTCCTTTTTTTATTGTTCCATATTAGGGTTGTCTGGAAGAAATCGCTTGTTAGCGGTACGGCCGCCCGTTGCCTAATAACATATGTAACCTGCTTTTTGTATATGTATGTTTTTGTATGGTAACGAAGTGTAAATAAATTAATAAAATAATTACTGTAAATATCACCAAAAAAGAAAATCTTAGACCACCTCCCCCCTATAGTGCTTACGTAATACTTGAACGGCCCTCTACACGTGTAGGCACGAGGATGCAATTTTTCTTTATTCTTCTTAAGTCGCGTTATTCATTACTTAAGGTCGTTACTCATATTTTCGGCAAGCCTTAGCGCCTCTGTGCAAAGACCCATAAGGACCTTAACTTTGTCGGTCCAGCGGAGATTACCTCGGGGTCCTTTCACTCTACCGGTTACCACAAGCTTCCCCAAATTATCGGGACCACTGCGTGTCCTGAGAAGCGTAGTTCCACTTGTAGTTAGAAACTATTATTAGACGCTATCGAAATAGCGTATTTTTTATTTCGAGATTCCGAAACTTTCTGATGAGCAGTCGAATATGCTAACCTTACCAATGTATGCAGATGAATAAATAGAAATATTGCACTTTTTATCCTGAATAATCGTGCTATGAAGAATTTGTCGTAATACTATGAAAAGCGATACTTTAGGAATTTTTGGTTCTATTGGGATTTCTATTTAAGCGAAAGCACAATTATGGTGTTCATTTATTCCTATTTTGAAGTTGTTTTTAATGTATTAATTACCTAGAATCTTGACTGCCATAATCATAAATATTAATTATTATATAGATAGGTTTTTGGGCCAGTACTAACGGGCATTATAATTTTTTAATTTGTTGAAACAAACATTAAACTAATCTTACAGTGTAAACTCTATAGCGACAATGATTTGACAGCGCTTTCTGGCGTTTAGATTTTTTATTATGTCGAATCGTATATTAAATCGTTCTATATGGTAAATAAGGTAATATTAATTGGATTTGTAAATTAATCCCTTTATTCAAAGCCAAAGCATCGTTTTACTTAAATATGAAGTCACGCCTACAATCACTGCGTAAGTTGTACGCTGAAACGTGCTATCGAAGATACTCTGGCCGCAAAGGATATATACAACTTCTCGACTTTAGCTACTGGGGCCTTCGGTCAGTGGTTAGACTGGTTGCGGATCCTCTCGTTAAGTCGGAAGTGAGGAAGGTGATCTTCCACATCCTATTTTCATCATAGTGTTTTTGTGCGTTTCAACAGATTGAAGCAAGTACTTCAGTTAGGTTTAGACAATTTTTATGAATAGTGGGATAAAAAATATATATTGTTTTGACTTCCCTCTTTATACTTGTATATATAATGTGATGACGGAACTACTAGGTATTTAAATTAGGTTTTATAAGGTGCTATATTTATGTTTTAATTTGCCAAAATAAATGTTAATTTCGGTCTTAAATTAATATATTATGGGTTATGTTATTGATTACAGTTGAATTGTTTAAACTACTTTTCATTAAATGTTTATGTGGTTGTTACTATTCGCACAATATTTTTTAACTGTATGTTGTAATGCACCTAGAAATAAAACAATGAAGACTTATGATTTTTTATTAAAACCTCGCTTTACCTTAACATTATTCGTACGTTATAAGAGGTCACAAATTTGTATACTACATTATTACTAATTTAATATAAATATTTATTTCATCAAACTGAAGCTTCAGGGCTACTCTGAGCCGGTACTAATCATAATCATCTAATGACGAAAATGTCCATAATTCTTTTAATATTGCGAACTTGAAATTACGAATCGATATTGGAATCACGTTCGACGTCGGAATTGCTAAAGTTATGTGGTAATCCTGCTAAGTTATAAACACTTTTACTGAGATGTTAGCTCTTAAAATCTATAATGTAGGAACTTAATAAATATTTGTTTACAAATGTTATAAAATAAGTGAATAAAGAAGTAATATTAACCTATTTACAAACAGACAAATTAAAATACATTTTTATTCCTTTCAATCGCGTTCTTCGTAATTTTATTTTTATAAACTACTCGAATGTTAAGTGAGCATGCTCACTTAGTAAGTGTAGGTTTGTATGGTAATTTTAATTAAATTAATAAATTAAATTAAAAATATAAAGAAATGATACAAAAAGGGTCTAGTTTTTAATACACTTGGTTCGACTATAACACCGACTTCCTCACTGACGAAAACGAAAATTAATATATATGTATAATTTTGGTTGCAGAAATCAGTAGAAAATATAACAATTAAATATTAAACTGTCACCTTGAGTCAATAAATAAAACACGATATTTTTCACGATAGTTTTTGGATACGAAACTTAAATGAAGTTACACAGAGCACCACACAGTAACTCCAGCCCTTCGTGAACCGATGCCTTCGTCAAATCCTTGGACTATTCTGTCCCAATAGCATCTCTAATCATCAGGCATGAGGTGCCAGTTGACAGGTCTATAAAACACCGAATGTGAAAATGGGTGGGCCATACACTCCGAAGGGATCCAAGTCACATTTCCAAGTAAGACTGGAATCCTCAAGGCAAAAGGCTCCAACTCGTCAACGACGCATCATTGCAGAGGCGAAAGAAGCTGGAACGACGTTGAGTGTAACTAAGAGCCATTTGCCTGGGACCGATCAGGCTGGTTTTCTACGCTGATTGCCCTCTGTCTCACTTGGGGGACATAGAGCTTTAAGTCAAGTAGTAATTAAATATTAACATTGGTGTCAGGTCTAGTTAAATGGCCATTGATCCAATCCCAAATGACAGGATCAGACAGCCTTGTATAAACCCCAGGGAAGTTACCCCGCGCGCATCCCTTGCCCCACGACACTGCTCCGATTAGCAACCCTTCTGATACTATGGGTCCACCGCTGTCACCCTGAAAGAAATGTTTGATAGTGTCATCTGTCAAATATGAATACTCACATGTATGCACACTCTTAATCTAAATTTGTCATAATAAATACTATTATACAGTATATTTTTAAGTATTTTTTTTTTGCTTTTTTCTTATTTTACAAGAAGATTCTGGTCATCCACAGGAATATCGTAGTGTAGGTATGTTTATAAAACATCGCACCAGTGAAAATTATTTAATTAATTAAGTTTGTTTTTTTTTTATTATAGAAGGAGACTTGGCCGTCAACGCACTTGCGAGCGCTCTGGCATTAACAGTGTTCAGGTGAGACTCCAGACTTATAGAAGGACATAATCTTTCGTTCTCTCCCCGGTTAATCAATTTCTCAGAAAAATACGTAAGATACTTGTAATTTAAAGAAACTGGACTAATTGAGCTTTTGTGTAACTGTCCAGAAGGCATACTTCAAGAACTGTCAAAATATTAGTGTATAAAACTTGAAAACTTACATTTTATTCTAAGATCGACATAATTTTCGAATTTAACCCGGTACGACACGTAAGGTAAAACAAATGTTACAAGTTATAACCCTTATCTGTCATTACCCTATCTATCTCATTTGATAAAACATACACACATTTTGAGTATTTATTAAACTCAAACTCAAAATAATTTTATTCATATAGGTAATCAAGTACACATATGAACGTCAACAGAAAAGATATTAAATTGATTCAAAATTTACAATTACTACCTGTTTGCAAGTCAAGAGCGGGTTAAAAGAACTGGCAAGAAATTCTCCGCCACTCTTTTTAATCGCGATTAGCGAGTATACTCTTAGAACAAGGAGGGATTTTGGAGAATGATTGCCGACCTTTAGTAATTGGAGAGGCATCACAAAAAGAATATGAGATTCTACATTGTAATTGATATGAATCTTCAATTTAGTTGGAACCAAACCTACTAAAGCTATAAAAGTATGTCTTCTCAGCCTTGCGATTCTGTAACTCACTTTTCGAACTCCCAAAGCGGTTTTCACAAAAAGAGGGAGCTTGTAGTTTATTGTTTATCCAATTATCCAAATGCCAAATCGTAAAATGACTGCTTTACGACTGATATGAGCGCGACCGCCGCTGTGAAAACCGCTGTGAGAGTTCGAAAAGTGAGTTACAGAATCGCAAGGC